TGATTTTTCGAGGTCCCTTCCAACCTGAGATGTTCTATGATTCTGGGAAAATAAATTATAGGAACAATTTTTGAAGAGTCATGACAGAACCTCAATTCACAGAAATGTTATTACTGGGCAGGATGTTGTTCTGAATCATTCACTTGGGTTTACAAACAGCTCTTACACTTGAATGGGGAGTTGATTCACAAGGTTTCAGTGTATATTAGGCAGAGAGATGAATGACAAACATAATAGGATATAGTCTTTACCTCATTGTTCACTGATCACCTGCATATAATCTTTTCATTAGTAATGGTTATAACAATTATGCTACTAACACTTGTTTTCTCATATAACAATTAGAGCTTCCCATTGTAATTAATTCAACTGTCATATCTGTCAACAAGTAAAATAATACAAATCTCATTTTGTGCCTTTCCAATGTAACCAATATTAAAATCACACAAGCTTAGAATAGTTGTGCAGGATCTCTGAAGCCCATCTGGTCCATGTTCAACCTCGTGTCTGTGTTGTAAAAGAGTCAGTCTCTGCCTTTCCCCTTTCAAACATAGTGGCTGTTTGCTGGCCTTACTCCTGTTTGTTAAAGTCTTTCCTGCACTGGGGACTCCAAAACTCAACACAGTAGTCCCGACACAGTTTCTAAGTTGCTGAAAAAGTGGGTACAATCACTATTTTCAGTACTCGCACTACTTGGTGACTAAAGCAGTGCCCTCACGGTTGCAAGGGAGCACTGATGACTCATATGCAACTTGTCCTGGAGTCATAGAATCATTTACGTTGGAAAAGACCTCTAAGATCATCCTACTCATGGCAGGAGGTTTGGAACTGGATGATCTTGAAGATCCCTCACAAGCTAAACCATCTTATGACCCACAAGTCCAATCCCTCAGTGTTTTTACTACAGCTGCTCCCTAGACACCTGGTCTCTCCCCATTATTTTCAGATCTTTTCCATCAAATCACTTCTTCAGGTTTTTGAGATTCATCTGAATGACAGCCTTGTTATCCAGCATAGAAACTGCTCCCTGCAATTTGGTGTCAACCCCAAACTTGCTGATAGAGTGTTTCTTTCTCTGTAATTACAAATCAACAAATCACACCTTTACCATTTCATCTGACAGATGTTTTCAGGTTTCCCAGGTACTGAAAAGCAAAGGCCTGTTCTGAAATCTTCACAAGGGACTGGGGTAGGAGTTGTGTGACTACAAAGAGGGAAGACCTGAATTTAAATAGAAAAATAACAATATTTGATATAAAAGCAAGCAATGACAACTGATCTGGTTAGCAATTACTTGTGACTGAATGTGGACAGTCAATGTGCACACAAATCCCTTCTGACCTGGTAATATCTCCACCCATGGCAATGTTTCTCACCACATGTACCCAGAAATGCCAAAACAAATATGTGTTTTAATGTTAGTGCACACAGTAATCTTTTAATCTTTATCCAATATTGGGTGAAAGTATAAACTACAGAAATATCCTTGTCTCCTTTTTTGACTTTTACACTATAGGATGGATGTAAAGAAGCCACAGCTTGAACAGGAACTTGGCCCAAGACTTTTTAAATCCCCATGGAAAAATCAACAGGCAAGATTCCATCTTGGTTAGAACAATGTCAGTCTGGAGACAGCTCAGTAGCCACCTGAGGTTATTGGCATTGCTGGAGATTAGGATCAAGTGCTGCTACAACTGGACATGTCAATCATTAGCAGAGAGCTTTGTACCACGTTCCCTCTGACTGCAAATTTCACATATAAGGAGTAATACACCCAAAACTCATTTCAGAGTATTCCATCTCTTCCAGTACAAGAAGAGGAAATTAAAATGGAACAAAAGCAAACAACCTCGTTTTTGGGTGAATTTGCACTTGAAAAATACATTGTTCTCTCTGGTCAGTACTTGAATTTTGTAATACCTGTGACGTTGAGTCACCTTGTCCTATCAGGAAGCAGAGGAACTATAAATCACCCTCCAGGGAAGAAGTCTGGTCACTGCCACAACTACCTGAAGAAATACAGAAGAAATTTCTGATCTTCTTGGAAACAAAAGGTAGGATTTACATTGATTTGTTGGCTTTGAGTACTGTAATTTTTTTCATGTATTAAAGTACAACTTATTGTGAGAAGGCTTCTTGAACAACTTAGGGCAGCCTCAGAAAGAGGATTTTATTTAGCGAAAAATAAGGATTACATAGGCAACCTTGTAACAAAGCTGGGAAAAAAAAGGGGAGAAAATTGATGAACAATCAGAAATGACAGATGAAAAGACACCTGTGTGCAAGAAAGAGCATCTTAGCAGAGAGAAAGGGACAGAGAGACAGTCAAACATATTGAATGGGATATACATTGAGCTCGGTATATTTTATTGGTATATGTTACTATCATCACCTATTTTCAGAGTGATGAAATTACCACCCTGTTTAATTTACTCCTCTTGTGCAAGGTGGCTGCTAAGTAAGACTTTGTGCAATAATGCTGTACAAGTGGAATGCCAGAGACTATATTCCAGGTCTTCTTCAAGAATAATAAAAAAATAATAGGGATGTTCTTTTGTAATGGATATTCAATTCAATGAATAATTTAGGATACACTTTTTTTTTTTTTTAGAAGGAGAGATGGAAAAACATATTCACACAAGTTTGCCAAATTGATACAAACTAGGGATGCTAAAGCACCATCTTTCAGTGGCAGATACTGGTATACAGATGGATTTGCAGGAAAGTCAGTAAGACTTGGCACATGTCCTGATTTATGTTTGATTGAGGGGGAACAGGGGAGGGGGAGAGAGAGACTGATTTTAGGACCAATGCCTAGAAATTAATGCAGAGCAATTAAATTTACATCTCATAAACTGTAAGCATTTGGTTGAAATCAGTGGGATTGCCAAAAGTATGTTAATATCTTGGAGTGGGAAACCCACTGGGTCTTAAAAAGCATTCCAATGGCATTTTGAAACTTGTATCATGTATTAAATTACCAATTATATTTAATTGTAAGTTAATTCATAGAAAATATTACAGTGAATGAATACTTTGCCTATGTCTCTAAGTTAGCTTTACTAAATAGAAAGCTTCAGAATTTCAGCGGAGTTATTTTTCCTTTAAAATGTGTTTTACATGCAAAAAGGATTGTTTGTATTTGCATATCATCATATTTTGCACTCAAAGGACATATTTTTGCTTGTAACTTGAGTACAGCTAAAAATAACCCTCAACTCTACTTAATTTCTAGCTAAAAATTAGGTGAAAAGAATCTTTTTTTCATGATATTGGGAGTATAATCTTTTGTTGCTAAACACCTAGATCAGATACATTGCAAAGTTTTGGAATGGCTCTGGGAAATAAGTGTTCGAAAATTTAATAAGAAAAAAATTCTGTTATCATAAAGCATTTAAAGGAGGCACAGGTGATGGCAGAGCTCAAAGCAAGTGACATAAAGCAGTACCAAGAACAGGAAATCAATTACTTTTACTGTTAAATATCAGTATGTTTTCCCCTGGATCAACCAGATTTTTTTCTCAAGTACAGGTGTTTGGAATAAGTCACTTTATTTTGAAGGCTGTGAGAGATTAATTGGACAGATGTGACCAGTCTGTCCAGTTTTTTAGCCTCTGAGCTGCAGCTGCCCGTAGTCACAGTCCACTTCAAAGGGCTTTGCTGTTTAGCAGAGCTGGAGCAGCATCTCTGCCTACAGGTTGGGAACTGTGGGTCTCTTCCAGTGCCAGGTAATGAAGCTGGTGAGGAGCAGGGACCTTGCTGTATCAGTTGGAAAAGGGTAGTTTTTCTTTTCCACATGTTCTCCACAAATACAAATAGTGTTCTCCAGAGCACCTTGTGTTTTATATAAACTGGTTGCCTCAAGGGAAATGTTCCTTTGCTGAACATGAAAAGATCAGCAAACCCTATTGGCCTTCCCCCAAGAATAACTTAAAACCAAAACCAGCAGCCCCTCAAGACCAAATAAGTTAAGCTAATAATATATCTCTGTGGTAACATGCCCATAAATTCCCTTGGGTGGGAGGCTGGGAAAAATGCCAAAATGAGTAAATTCCACTCTAGTCACCTGCTTGCCTGTCCAACGTAACAGAAACAAGCTGCATGTAATTCGTATGACTAATTGTAGATACCTGAACTTTGCAGTGACCTCCTGGGTCACTGGAGTGGGGTGATGTGGTGCTTTGAGCCTCTAAAGTAAATGGAGACTTAGAGTCCAGATTCTGGTGGATGCTTCTTCAGTTAGAATCATATACATGTAGAATATCCTGAGTTGAAAGGGACCCACAAGGGTCATCAAAGTCCAGCTCCTGGACCTGCAGAGCACATCCCCAAGAATCACACAGTTAGAGAAGGCTCTGGTTTCTGTTGACATTCCACACTACCTGTAATATAATCAAGAGTTGTCTTAGACAAAAACAAATAAAGCTTTCTGAAACGGGTCTTTCCCTGGTCCATTTTTGGCCCAGCCAGTTCTGCCCCAGCTCACATGCAAGGCTTCACAATGCTGCTCATTGACTTTTAGGGTTTGAATCCTGACTCCTGGGTCTGCACAAGGATCAGTGTCTAATTCCCATTTCAAACTATGCACTCCAGTCAAAGTAGGCAAATAGGAGTAGGGAAATTTTCAGGCTAACCTAGACATAGAAACAAGCTAAAAGTAGCATCCTATCCCATTCCAGTTTGGCAATGGGCATAAGGCTTCTTACAGAAAGGGAAGCACAAACACCTCTGAATTCAGGTGGAGATATTCAGCCAGGATGACAGTAGGAAGTATGAGATATACAAAGCAATTCATTCATAGAAATTTGGAAGTGTGGGGGAATTAATTTTATTATTTTACTTGTAAAATGGGGGGAGGTGAGGAGGAAACAAAGAAAAAACCATATTACATTGCTACTTGGGCAAAAGTCAGGAAATGCACTGGAAAAAGATGCATTAATTATCAGAGAAATGAAAGCTATATAAAAAATAAATCAAATCCTCATTCTCCCTTTTCAGAGATGATTCTGCCAGTGGTGTTCCTGTGTCTCACGGCTGCACTGCCTCCATCCAGTGCACAGGTAGGATCCACACTTTGTACTCAGAAAATTTGGGTGGGCCCTGAGGCACTTGTGTTCTGACTGAATATGGCTTTTCCTGTACACACCAACCTCATGCATAAAGAGTCTGATTAGATATCTAGGATCTGGAAAACTTTCATCTTTGACATCTGCTTCCATTTGAAGCAGTCAACTGGATGCACACTTGCACAATAAACCATCTAAAGATTCACTGTTACTTATGAATTGGACCAGAGAGAACTATATTTTCCAGAAGTTTCCATACACAGATCCAGGAATCAGGTTCTCCCAAAGATCCAGCCCTCTTCCCATTAGTTTCCCACAGGTTTACAGACAGCACTTACCTAATTCCTTCCTCATCCTACAGACCCTGAGCTATGTGCCTCTCCCTTTGCTCAAACGTCCATCCTCTCATCGTGTCCCTGATTTCCTTAAAACAGCTAAATTAAGATACTGAATGCACACACATAGTGATTCCTCCCAACCCATACTTAGACTGAAGTCTGTAGTTTGCTACTTCTGCTTCAGAATCATTATGATTCTGAAGCCCTGAATCACTGAAGCCCTGATTACTTTTTTTTAAATTATTTTCCCTCTAACTCTTCAATTTCTGCTCTCCAAGCTGCAGTCTAGAAGACTAGTTGAGAATTAATATACAGAAGAGACTGAGTTCTTCACATGACTCTTTTTTAATTAGAGAACACATGAAAAGTTTGAGAAATGCTATCAGTTATGGCAGAATTGTAACAAAATCTATGGCATGAAAGTATAGGCATTCATTTTCTGCTCAGTGGGATGTGCTGGTGAAGTACCACAAGAGGTCTGTGATGATCCTGTGATTAAACAACAGTTTCCCTCAATTTAAAAAAAAAATGATAGACATGGTATAAGATACAGAAGAAGGGAACTACATTATAACAACATTCATGTCTTCAGCTGATTTTTAGATCCTGTTTCCTCACAACCTCATGTAGGAAATTATAATAATAGTAAACAAGCCTGATTTTGTTGCCTAAATTTAAGAGTCTACAGGCACAAGAGGCATTCCAGAATACCTCAGTCCTCCACAGAGGATTGGAAGATACAATACAGGAATCAGTGTTGTTATTGCTAAGCTCCATGCCATGGAATCACTGTCATGCTGCTCCACATGGAAGTTCTCCTAGAGATACTTGGGAGATAAAACAGTAATCACAGAACCTCCTCCATCCCAAGGATCATCTCTTTGATCAATATAATTGATCAATACAATTATTTTGGTATTTTAGTATTTCTTAGAAAGGATACAGGATTTAGTTACATTCAAATAAAACAGAAATATAACATGTTCTTCCCTTTTAGGAGGCTGGAGGTGTCGATGCTCTGTCAACCAGCAGAGCAGATCAGCAAAAGCTGATTGTTGACAGACATAATGCCCTCAGGAGAGGAGTAAAACCAACTGCCAGCAACATGATGAAGATGGTAAGTTGTGTGCTGTAAATCTACTTTTAATGAGTAATGGACTCTATGAGAGGCACAAGACTGTGTGCAGCTTACATTATTTTGTTTAGCTACAAATTCATTCTTCAGACCTTTCTCAAGGCCAGCACCAAGAGAAACATAAAGCTGGACAGATGAAAAAACTTCTGAAAAATTTTGTGTTGTATGAAAAATAATGCCTCTTTCTTTTGGAGGAAAATGAAAAAGAGAAGAAGGATCCATGGCATTATTAATTTCTTTTTGATACATTCTTCATCATTCTCCACAGTTTCTATTCCCTGGATGCATAGTAACTTTTTGCCTACCCATCCCTTCCCCCCAAAAAGGGGGATGAAAAGGATTTTATATTTTACTTTTTCTGCTTTGGAATGTAATCTCCAAATGTTGTTCCCTTATGAGGGGCTATTCATTGGCATGTGTCTGAATGACTGGTATTTTATTCTTTCATTAAGGAATGGTGTCCTCGGGCTGCAGAGAATGCCCAAAAATGGGCCAATCAATGTACTTTAAGTCACAGTCCTCCTAATCTGAGGAGAACAGGTAAGTGAAGCACAATTGTAACTGAATAATGTCACATATGTTGTTGATGTGACCAGTTTTGAATTTGTTTGTTGGGGTTTTTTGAGATACAATTCATATAACATTTAGATTTTTTTGGGACAAAGGAAAATTTCGTGATATAAATCTGTCCAGCAAGCGAGAAAACTTCAATCCCATTCTCATCCCAGTTGCATCAGTTTTACATAGGAATATCCCACTTTCTACAGTAGATGAAAAAATATCATAGAGATAAAGCATATTCTCCCAAAATACCCATCAGAAAGAAGAGAATCTAAACCAAATCTAAGGTAGGAACCAGTTTGCATGTGCTGGCCCAAAGTATCTGGAAAGAAAGGGGTAAGGGGTGAAGATCCAAAATTGGCTGGTGGTGCTAAGCATAGTTTCTAAGACATGACAAATCCCCAGGCAACTTGCAGTCTTTGAGGTTCAGATTAACACTTCAGTCCTTGGATATTGAAGTTACAGCCATACTATGTTAACAACAGTCAGTGCCCAATGTGGTGCTCACTGACTTCTCTCTAGGTCACATTTAAGATATGGACAGTCCTGTCCATACTTTTTGCCTAAAACCCAAATTGTCTGTTTTTTGTTAAGGTGAATCCCAGATGAGAACTAATGCAGTAAGTCTGGACCTAAATAAAAACAGTAGGTCAAGACAATGTGGACATCTTCTTGTGTACCAGGAGTTAACTTTGGACTATTGGGATTTTCCCAAGATTACTGGGCTGTGACTTGAATAATGATGGGGTTGGTAACTTCTAAATAACAAAATTAGTCATGAACCTGTGCTGCACATGTGCAGGTGTATCTGTAGTCATGCAGAAGGTCTGTCAACAACCAAACTACCAGACAGACTGGCTGGCCACGCTGCAAACTGGTCAAGTGACAACCTCTGTATTAACAAAGAATGATGTCACAGAACTGGAAAAAAACAACATCCTGCTGCTCCATCTGGGATGAGAATTTCTGTGAAAATCATCCCACCTTTTGTTGGGTTTTTTGGGGTTTTTTTTTCCTCACATGTGTATCCTTTATGCCTTTCTCAGGATCTTTCTCTTTTCAGATGTACTATGTGGTGAAAATATCTTCATGTCAACCGCCCCATTCTCATGGTCAGATGTTCTTCAGGCTTGGTACGATGAGGAGAAAAATTTCAAATACGGAACTGGAGCAAAAACAAAAGGTGCTATGATTGGCCATTACACTCAGGTACATGCATTTATATATATATATATATTTCAGGCTGAATAAATAAATATGTACATGTTAGTTAAGCAACTGTTACCCTTTCATTTTTAAAGGAAATAAGTGCAATAGAGAACTAAAGGGTTATTCTGACAAAACAAGATGGAAACTTTCAAACTAACAGAATTAAAATGAAAATAATAGGCTAAGTGTCTTATGGAATAAAGAGTAAAGATAATGGTATTTAAAGACTTCAGGAGGAAGCAACTTGTTTGTTTAACATCTGAAAATTGTCCAGACACTAGAAAAACGAGGTTATTAAAGTATCAACAACAAAATATAAATAGATTTGTTGCAGTCTACAAAGTTCCATTGACTCAGAGAGTTTCCAGTTGGTCAACAGCTTATCATAACCTCCTTCTGTTCACCTGCACAAAACACAGGATACAAAATTTCACATAATGATTCCCACATTAACAATCTGCATTGAATGAAAATATAAGTAATGGAGACATTTTAACTCAGAGATTTTATATATATGTGTGATTAATTATCATCATATCCTCAATATTCTTTGGTTGAATAGGGGTGAAAGGAAGTTTTCAGCAAGGTAGGACTCATATTTTAATATAAAGGGCAAATAAGTGACTTCATTGCAAACATTTCTGTAATGCATATTGCATTTAAATGATTTTCAAATATGTATTTTTCATCCTTCTATGATTTTTATTCTTATACCTACAGATGGTTTGGCACAATTCCTATAAAGTTGCATGTGGTCTCGCTTCCTGTAGCAACAGCAGATTCAAATACTTTTATGTCTGCCAGTACTGCCCCATGTAAGTATTGATTCTGATTTTGGAACTTCTTATTGCATTATCAAAATTACTTGGGAGATGGTGACATTTGTAATAGAGCACATCACTCACTTATAGCTGAGGAAGAGGTTTGAAGAGTGTATTAGGAATATCAAAAGACAGAAAGATACTCATCAAAAGAGTTGTCAAACAAGCAAAATCATAAAACACATAAAAGCAACATCCATTTTCAAATTAAACTTCATTTGCCTAAAAATCCCAATTTTCATAGCAGTAAATCAGAAAAAAAGTGTTTTCAACATTCAACTTGAAATCTCAGTTCAGAAAGTACAGTACAGTGAAGACTATAATTAATACCAAATAAACTTTAGTGGGAATTTTAAGGTAGAGTGATTATTTCATATGCTGCCTAAAATTCATTTCCACATTCACAGCATAATATCTTGTGGTGGGTTGACCCTGACAGACCATCAGCAGTCCACCCCTCTATGATTCTTCTCCTCAATAGGACAGGGGAATTAAAAATACAACAAAAAGTTCATGAGTCAAGATAAGGGCAGAGGAGATCACTCATCACCATCATGGGAAAAACTGACTTGGCTTTGGGAAATTAATTTATTACCAGTCAAATCAGAAGGGGATAAAAAGAAACAAACCCAAACCTAAAAACACCTCCCACCTACCCCTCCCTTCTTCCCAAGCTCAAATCCACTCCTGATTTTTTCCACCTCCTGCCCCTAAGCAGCACAGTGGGATGGGAATGGGGACTCTGATCACTTCATCATACACTGCCTCTGCAGCTCCTTCCTCCTCATGCTCTTCCCCTGCTCCAGTGGGGGATCCATCTCATGGGAGGCAGTCCCTCCATGAACTTCAGTGTGGGTCCTTCCCACAGGCTGCAGTTCTTCAAAAACTGCTCCATGGATTCCTTCCATGGGGTGAAGTACTCCAGGAATGGACTGCTGCAGCGTGGGTCCCCCACAGGGTCACAGGTCCTGCCAGGAACCTGCTCCAGCAGGGCCTTCCCACAGGATCAGCCTCCTTCAGGCATCCTCCTGCTCCAGTGTGGGATGCTCCGTGGGCTGCAGGTGGATCCCTGGTCCCCTGTGGAGCTGCAGGGGCACAGCTGCCTCACCATGGGCTGCACCACGGGCTGCAGGGGAATTTCAGCTCCAGCACCTGGAGCACCTCCTGCCCCTCTTCCTTCACTGACCTGGGTGGCTGCAGAGTTATTTCTCTCTGAGTCTCACTCCTTTCTTCTGCACAGCAGTTTTTACCCTTCCCTAAATGTGTTATCACAGAGGCTCTGCTGTCACTGGTGGGCTCAGACTTGAGCGGCAGCAGGTCCAACCTGGATCTGGCCAGCACTGGCTCTGTCTGAAACAGGGGCAGCTTCTGGTATCTTCTCACAAAAGCCAGTCCTGCAAATTCTCTCCCCTTTGCCCTCTCTGCCCACTGCCAAAACCTTTACAGATAAACCCAATACATATATAAAAATTGACATATAACCAAAGAGTGAGTGCAAATTAGTATACATAAACACCTTTATAATTAAATTTTCTTCTCAGATATTGTATAATGTCTTCATAGCTTATGTTGATAACGTTGGTTTTTCAGGGGGAATCTACTAAGTTCCATGAAGACACCCTACAAGGAAGGAAAGCCCTGTGGGGATTGCCCTAATGCTTGTGAGGATGGATTGTGCAGTAAGTTCTAAGTATTTCAATTGTGTCCCGGGTAAAGTTGATGCTTAAAAAAAAAAAATAATTTATACAAATTGAATTTTTTTGGAATTATTTGCTTAAATACAGGGCCAAAAGCACTATTACAGAATCACATTTTACCATGTTGGTGCTTTACCTGGGTGAGATGAACTGTGAAATGAATTCAAAGAAGCAGGAGCCTGTGATAAGGGTGGGCAAATGTTAGACAGTGGTTGGTGTACACCAGTGTCCCAAATCCCTTAATTAAAGATGACAATGTCTGAATCTCCATGTGGAAACTCTCATGAACACTTTCCATCATAAGAAGAGTCGTGGTCTGCAAGTGAGGTCAAAGATATATTTATACCAGCGATAGCACAGAAGTGTGAGCTCCAGATTTCCAGCAGCTATACATGTGCTTTTCCATGCCCAGGAGAGACAATTCCCATCCTTGCATCTAGGAAATGCCAGGGAAGAAGGCAGCTTCTTTATCTTTCCTTCTTCCTCCTCTGAATGACAGTGGCTGATCAGGTGGTAGTAGCAACACACTTGATGAGGGAAAGTAGCAGACCTGAGTTTTTAGAATTCTAACAGAAAATCAAAACATATGGGCTGAGCATCACAGTGCAAGGTTCAGTCTTCTGTTATGGAATTAACCAAATTCTCACCATGGCCTGTAGCATAAAGGAAGAAAGCTTCAAAACACCTCGCTGGTCCAGTGAGAAATCTCCTTGAGGGAACTAAGAATTTTGGATGTGTGTGTTTGGATGCTCCTGTGAAGTAAATCACAACAACAAAGAAAAAAATTACAGAGAAAATAAAGGTTGATGAAAAACTATTCTGAAAAGAAACGCTGCAGGTCTTCATTTCCCACTCATGATTAATTTTGTGTTTCAATTCATTTTCAGCCAAGCCATGAAAGTTTGAAGATATTTTTTTCCAACTCCCTTGACAAAGTCTCCTGGAAGTACCCAGAGCTTCCTCAAGTTCATCACCCTGGTTCCTGACAATGCAAAACTGAAATAAAGTAACAGGCTCAGCTTTTCCCTTCCTGGACATCCATCCATCTTTCACAAAAGCTGCTTCCATCCAGCCTCTCCCACATATGCAGAAGGACCAACTTCAGTCCAGTGACTCCCACAAGAAAAAAAGCTGTTGGAGGATGTATATATTCTCTTTGTGTAATGGTCTAGAACATAGAGGTCTCAACTGAAATTTGTCATTTGATTGCTAGATACATTTAATATTTAGCTTTTTTCATCTTTCTTTTCCCAAAACACTGCCTAATGAGCATTGTTTAAAGTTCTGTGATTCCATATATTTCATATGTTCTCAACATAGATGGAGAGTGCTTGGTCATGCAACTAGTTTAACTTGATGCACATTTTAAATTAATGTACTATGAACACCAGAAAATAAACAAGATTGTTTGAAACATGTTTTTCTTATAGTATAAGATTGCACTTCGCATAAATACAGGTACCTGAACCTGCCTTCTAATGGAAAAGGACTGTCTGAGAAAAGGGCTTTATTCACATTAACAGACAGTCAAGGGGGAAAGGTCCCTGTGTTTGGAAACTTTGATTTTACTAACAAGTAGAGGTGCCTTCCAAAACTATTTTTGCAATATCTTCTTTTGCTGTATCAGTTATTAAATTATTCATTCTTCACTGACTAATTCATCACAATTTTCATTCTTTCTTATTACCAGGAAACAAAGTTCACTAAACTTCCACCAACTTTATTAGCGTTAGGTCCTGAGGGGAACCTAAATCTTTAGCAGCATAAGCACAAACAGGTCATGTGAGAAACTGAAGATTTCCTAGGCAAAAACAGAAGTCAGGTAAACAACCTTTCATCAGACTCTCTTTCAGAAAGTAACAATTAGAATAAATAACATGGAATCCCCACTCTGTGACCTTTGGGTGGCAAGATGTTCTTCTGTGCAGTCAGCAGTGGGAATAAATATTATTTTAGTCTCACCTTCCAGTGGCTTCCCATTCCAGTCCTCTTTTAGTGAGAAAGCTGCTTGAAGATTTCAAGTCCCAGAGCCTTTGGCACGGAATAATTTCAGCATACATTTCTGACTCATTCATTTCAGTGGCATTTCTTCTAGTGTGAAAATGATTATTAAGTAAAAACCCCAATTTCACAACTCAAAGTGCTTGATGTTTCAGCTGTTTTTTTTCTCATTCATCTCCACCACTTTTCCCCTCCATGACATCCTGCCCTACCAGCTGGGGACATGCCTACTAGTAAATTGGGCAATGCCAGGGCACAGGTGTGAGTGCTGGAACATGACTTACTGCACCCTTGAATAATTAACACAGATCCAAGTAAGAATGAGGATACAGCAATAGCTAATCCAATGTTATTACCATTAAGGAAATAGGCAGAACCATCACCCTCATTCCTAAGAGAGTCCTTTACTATGAAGAAAGAAATCATAGAATCATAGAATCATTAAGGTTGGAAAAGACCTCTAAGATCATCGAGTCCAACCATTTACCTAACACAGCCAGGTCGACCAGTAAACCATATCCCTAAGCACCATAGTTACACATTTTTTTAACACTTCCAGGAGTAGTGATTCCACCACTTCCCTGAACAGCCCGTTCCAGTGCTTGACAACCCTTTCTGTGAAGAAGTTTTCACTAATGTACAATCTAAACCTCCCCTTGCACAATTTGAGGACATTTCTTCTTGTCCCATCTCTTGTTACCTGGGAGAAGAACCTGACCCCTACCTGGCTACAACCTCCTTTCAGGGAGTTGTAGAGAGCAATAATGTTGTCCCTTTCTCCAGGCTGAGCCCTCCTAGCTCCCTCAGCAGCTTCTCATCAGATTTGTGCTCCAGACCCTTCCCCAGCTTCACTGCCCTTCTCTGGACTCACTCCAACCCCTCAATGTCTTTCTTGTAGTGATTTCTATTCCCTTCCACTGTAACTTATACTATAAGAACTGATTTTTCTGTCACTCGTAAGAGCAAAGTAGTGTAATGACGTAAAAATCAATCCTCATACATCTCACCCCTGAAGACACGGGGAATAAAGGTCAATAAGCCTAATTTAGATCTCCAGGGAGATAATGAAGCTAATTTTTTACCTGTCATTCTGTAATCAGTAGAGCATAAAATATCAGCATGGATCCTTCATGAACTCTTCTTGCCAAAACAAATTCTCTTCAGTGAGTCACTCAGATGAGTGGATGCTGTTTTGGCTTTGGTAACATGTTTGACAAAGCCACAAAAGTAATTTCCAAATTAGGGAGATATGGTTCAAATGAAAGTAATAAGACCTAGCACATACATACTGTTGAACACACACATCCATGATCCTCCTGTGCAGAGGGCAGAGATGGAGACTTCTGGCACTGCAGGGAGTAGCTGCACAGATGGACAGTACCCACAGCCAGAGTTAATTGCACAGTTCTTCCATGTGATGTCCATAACCTTCCTCTGGGGGCTGACCTGGTGGAAAGCAGCTCTGCAGAGAAGGACCTGGGGGTCCCGGTGGATAATAAGCTTCTCTGTGAGCCAGAAGGGTACCCTGGGGGCCAAGAAAGCCAGTGGTATCCTGGGGTGCATTAGGAAGAGCACTGTCAGTAGGTCTAGGGAGGTGATTCTGCCCCTCTGCTCAGCCCTGGTGAGGCACATCTGCAGTGCTATGTCCAGTTCTGGGCTCCTCATCACAAGAGAGATATGGACCTCCTGGAGCAGGTCGAGTGGAGGGTGACAAAGATGATGAAGGGATTGGAGCATCTCTGATGAGGAAAGGCTGAGGGAGCTGGGGCTGTTCAGCCTCGAGAGGAGGCTGAGAGGGGACTTCATCCATTTCTGTCAGTGTCTGCAGGGAAGGGGCAGATGATGGACCAGGCTCTGCTCAGGGATGCCCAGCAATGGGACAAAATGCTACGGGCAGGAACTGATGCCCAGGAAGTTCCACCTGAACAGGAGGAAGAAGTTCTTTCCTGTGCAGTGACTGGAACAGACTGTCCAGAAGGGTTGTGGAGTTTTCCTCACTGGAGATATTCCAGAACCATCTGGACACAATCCTACGCCATGTGCTCTATGACCACTGCTTTATGTGTGGTCCAGCTACCGATGTTTCTAGGGCATGAGGGTAGTTCAGTGACTGACTGTGGTATCAAAGGGTCATGTTGCAATAAGACAGTGATGGTAAAAGACTTAAAAACCATTATAATACATTCTTCATAATTGCAAGGCAGCATGCCTTGTCCCTGATAGGTCCCTATGGTCACTGGGATCCCCACATCAGACCATACACTCCTCCTCTCGCATACTGTTCCCACTTTATTTCACCTTTCGAGGTGAAACCCTTGATACCTTAAGAACAGGACCTTAAGCAACAGGATGTGCTTGACTTGCCTGTACCCTGTACCTGCCCTAAGTTGCTGCAAATTAAATTCCCACATTCTCTCAGAGATGGAGCCATTCCTGAGGTGTGGGGAATGGCTAAACAAGAATATGTTTCTAGTTTAAATGTGCCTTAAGATCTTCAGCTGCAACGCTCGAACAAAATAGAAAACAGGTCAAACGAAGCACTCGTTAGTTGAAACCCCTCTACAGTGTTACTGCTAAGAATTTAGTGCCAGGGGAATACATTGCAGAGTCTGTTATGTATTTATCTCTCAGCTTATCAGAGGATGGTGTCAAAGAAAATGATAAGTAAAAGATAAGCTCATTCCAGACTGACAAGACCATGTTGTCTAGGTGGCTTGAACAGCGACGCAGCAATGTGTTAACCAGCATCGTTAGCAGAATCAGGAGCAGGAATTGCATGCCTGATGGCACTTGTGAGGAGCAGCCACTATCTAATGAGTGCCACGGGTCCATGGTTAGTGCCGTGTACTGCCAGCTACATCTGTGAAACAAGGTGAAGATAAAAGATAAGGAATAATAAAGCAGGATGTCATTAATCAGCTCCTACAGAAGTAGCGTATCAGTAGATAGCATTTAATAATACATTGCCCCAAGCAGCTCAG